ACAGGGTGGGCGTTTCAAATGTCACATCCCAGCCGTAATGGGAAGGAAAGGAAAGAAGAAAAATAGCTCCTTTAGACAATATCAATTTATCATTTTCCCATTGCCAAACACTGCAAAAGGCACGAGGGGCTGTGTGCTCTCCTTGAGAGCTGCCCTTTCGCTCCGGGGAGATGAAGTTCGGTCTGATGTCAAGGTTACTAAGGAAACGCTGTATGCTTATGCATCGCAAAGCAAATAGACATATAAAACTTGAGTAAATCATTAATTCATTAATATTCCTGCTGATGGCGTCCGGCGCGACTTACACATCCCTTTTCTTCCAGCCCTCAAAAGTTTTCTTTCATGGCCGAGCAAACACTCGGACGGCCACTTTATGGATCATTATTCCCTCTTCGCTGTGCTCTCCAGAGACAAGAGGGGCTCGCGCTCCGATTTTAATGGATCAAAGGGAACGGTGGGGCGGCCGGGAGGAGCGTGCTCGGTGGGCTTTTGTTTTTGTCACTGACGCTGCGGCTTTTGCAGAGAATGGAAAGTGCATTAAGGCGAGTTTGACTTACACTCAAAGCACTCTTTGAGTCGAGTGCAGGCCGGCTGCTCGCACCCCCCCGGCTGCAACTGTGTCTGTGTTCACGGAGCCCAGCGCAGGGGTCGGGCTTGGCGGCACGGGACAGGGCGGGCGGAGGTGGCCGCAGGTGCTGTCTCAGGGTGGGGCGGCTGGAAGAGCGGCCAGCCAGTGTCCGTGCAGACCCGGTGGAGGCTGCCGCTGTGACCCGGGACCCGCAGGCGTGTCCAGCGTCCTTGGACAGCAGCCCTGGGGTCCCACAGAGGCTGGCCCTTAGTGTGAGTGACCCTGTCCCAGCCGGCGACCCCACACCCTCTGCCCTTCTCCAGCTGCTGGCGCCTGAAGGCCTCCGTAGAACCTTCAACAAGGAAGGGGCTAGAGCTTCCTGGAGGCCACCCCTTCCTTTAGGCCGCGCAGGACAAATCATCCTTCTCAATCACGCTGGCCTGTCAGCTTCCTCCCAGCTGTGGGAGAAGACGAGGAAAGTCCAGTGTAATGCTGGTCAGACAAGGAATGAGTAAATGTTTATTGACTGACTAAATGTGGTCCCTGCTGGGAGGTGCTGTTGCAAAGGGTAAACAGGGCCCCATGGAAGTGTGGCTGAGGGGCTTGGGTTTAAGATGAGAACAGAGGCCGTGACACATAATTCTGACCAGGAGCAAGGAGCAAGGAGCAGGGACCGAGGAGAAGGCTGTCTGAAGGAGGCGCCTTTTAGGTGGGTGTTGAAGAAGGAAGTCTGGCAGAGGCTAGCAAGCCAAGCGGCACGGGAGTGCAGGGGTCGGGTGTGGGGTTTGGAGTTCGGGACAGCAGCGGGGAGAGAGGCACTTCTGTCCCCGCCCCCAGGCCTGTCCCCCAGGACTGGCCAGCGGGGCCACTTCACAGCGGCCCCAGGTGCCTCGTCCTTGTCCCCTGGCTGGCCACCAGCTGGGCCCTGTGTATTTGCGGCCGCCGCACTCAGCTTTTTGTTTGTTTCTAGGTCCTGGATGTGGAACCCAGGGCCTTTGCACTGAGCCATACCCTCAGCCCTTTTAATTCTGAGACAGAGTCTCACTCAGTTGCCCAGGCTGGAGGCAGACTTTCAATCCTCCTGCCTCAGCCTCCCAGACAGAGTGCTGGGGTGAGAGGAGTGCCCTGCTCCACACTCAGAGGCAGATGAGCACTCAGGAGCAGAACAGTGAGCACGTGTGCCACTCTCCCAGGCCACACTGGGAGGGCGGGACAGGAGGGAGTGAGAAGCCCACTCCCTTCCCCTGGAGAAGCCGTTGGGCCCACCCTCACCTGCGTTGCGTGGATGAGCGGCTGGTTCAGAGAGGCTGCCCAGGGTGCCTGGAGACACACAGCCAACGCAGATCCGAGCTCCACTGCCCCAGGCGAGGTGGGGATGTGGAGGGTGTGATGGAGATGCTGGCCGGCTGCGGGTTCCCAGGTCTGTGCCCCAGCTCCCAGCTGGCAGTGACCAAGGGGGTCTTGCCAGCTTGGGCTCTGATGCCAGATCTGTGGCTGGTATCCAGGAGAGCAAGGGACTGGGCACCGAGGAAACAGAAGTTTTGGAGTTGTGGGCCCAGAGGCCGCATCTCTCTGCTCCCCAAAGAGAATGACATTATGGAGAACGATGTCCCCTGTCCATCTGCTGGTGCCCAGGTCTTACAGTGGCCCTAACCTGGGCACCTTTCCCAGCTAGAGGCTTTTGTTTTTATTTTTTGAGACAGGGTCTCGCTCAGCTGTCCTTGAACTCATAACAATCTTCCTGCCTCAGCCTCCCAAGTGCTGGGATCATAGGCATGTGCCGGCTTCGGAGAGATTTCAGAATCAGCAACTAAAAGGGCTCAGAATCCGAGCCCTCTCCTTCCTCCCACCCCAGAAAGGCCCAGCTGGATCAGAGTGTGGATAGAAACGAGCTGCCTTGACCGTGTCCTTCCAACAAAGAGCTTTTGTTTTGGGCTGCTGGATTTTTGTTTGTTCGTTTTGGGTTTTTTGTATTTTTGTTTGTTTGTTTTTTTTTTTTTTTTTTGGTTTTTCTCCGGCACCGGGAACCAAACTCACGACCTTGCGCTTGCCAGGCAGGCACTTTTGCTGCTGAGCTAAATCCCCAGCCCCTGTTTTTTGTATTTTTGAGACAGGGCCTCCCTATGCAGTTCAGGCTGGCCTTGAGCTCACTTTGTAGCCTAGGCTGGTCTCAAACTCATAGTGATCCTCCCGCCTCAGCCTCCTAAGTGCTGGGATTACAGGCGTGCGCCACCACGCATGGCTGGGCTGCTGGTTTTGAGGTAGATCCTTCCACCGTCCTATTCATGAAAGCAACGGCTTCCAAACCAGATTATAATTCCCTGTGTTTTTTGTTTGTTTTTGTTGTTGTTGGGGGTTCTGCTCTCCAGTACTGGGGATTGAGTCCAAGGCCTTCACACTGAGCTACATGCCCCCTCTTTTTTTATTTTGAGACAGGGTCCTGCTAAATTGCCTAGGCTGGGTTTTTTTGTAATCCCCCTGCCTCAGCCTCCTGAGGGGCTGGGATTGCAGGTGTGCACACAGCCCCATGCTTTCCCAGGCTCGTCCACGTGCCCTTTTGGGGTTTGAGAAAGGCCATGTCTGCGTGAGCAACTCAGGGCAGAGTGACTCAGGTCTACAGAGGAGGACACGCAGCCTTCTGCACAGAGGGGCCACATTCCTTGCTGTGTGCCTGCCGCGCTCTGCCGGCTGCAGGCTCCTGAGCAGGTCCCCACACTGGCTGGTGGGTGAGGGACGGAGCAGCCTCCCGACAAGCACGGGCTCGCTCCCTGCAGAGGCTGAATTCTAACTGACAAATTGGAGAGGTTCCCTAAGGCAAGGGCTCCTGAGCGTTGTCATCCTCGCTAGAATGTGATTTATAACGTATTCCTATTTGCCAGACACTCCTCCACCCTGGAAGGGACGCCGGCAGGCCCAGGAACGGGAGGTCTCCCTGAGTCCTGACCCCACGCAAGACAGCTCCTCTTCGGACTTCTCCAGCAGATGGACCAGGTGCCTAGATCAGCCCATGAGGGGCCCTTGGTTTCCTTAGGTTCTGATGCTATTTTCAGGAATCAAACACTGAAAATTCAGGCCAGGGCACGAGTGGCCTGCAGGTGGCTTTAGAAGCTCATGTTCTAGTGGAAAGATCTACAGATCTGATGGAAGAGATGGTTTGGATGTTGAAGGTATAGCTCAGTGGTTAAACTTGTGCGAATTAAAACACACCAGGCCCCAGTATGGGGGGAGGGGTACAGGGAACAAGAGAGATTGAAGAAGAACGAAGGCGAGGAAGGAGGAAGGAAGGAAGCAGAAAAAGTAAGAACAAGAGCTTGCATTTCCTAGCACTTCCAATTTATAAAAGAAACCCAGCCTGATAACGACGCGTGCAGAGTGTCAGCTATTAGAGCTCAATGCCGCCTTCAGCTCGGCTCCCTCAGAGCGCCTTTGTGAAAACCATACTCGGGAAAGCAGGGGAAGCTGTCTGACTTCTCTCAGGAGCCTGGGTTAAAGTTGCAATCTCATTTTGCCCGAGATAACCAGAAATACTCTAAGTTGTCTAAGTGCGCAGAAACGGATTTGATCTCCCCTTCTGATTGCTTAGCAGAAGTCAAGCAGCCAATTTTTCAACAACGTCTCCGTATCATGAAACTTCCTAAAAGTCTTCAAGGGGGTAACCTGAGCTCGTGAAAAATGATCTCGAATGTCAGTGGGACAAAGCTGCCCTTCGGAGATATAATTAGGGACGCTGGGAGCAGGCCTTTCGCATTTGACTTGACAAGAGCCTTTTTCTTTGTTCTGCTGCTGGGAGGGCTTTAGCAGGGTTTCACCATTTCTTTGTTAAAAGAAATAGCTAAATACCTATATTTATAAAATAGTAGTCACTTAAAATTGAATCTGTGCAACAGGAATGTTCATTTTACCCAATTCGTGTGTGAGTAAAAATGATACTAAGTTTTCTGCTGGCTTCTATTCAATTGTGTCCGTATTTAAGCTTCTAAGTCCCTTGCTCAGAAGCACCGATTAAAGACACACAAGCCACGCAAGGCACGGATTGCCACAAGGGCCCGAGAGCAAAAGGCCATGCTGAGAGATGTCCAGTGTCAGAGCCCACGATGTCCACACCATTCCGAGCAGGCCTGCAGGTCTGCACCTTGTGACCACAGAAATGTGGACACTAGAAACATCACCCTAGAAGGGACCTGGCTCTGGTGACCCTGCAAGACTCTCCTGAGGGCTCTGGCCCTGAGCGCCCCTGACCTTGGGACCCTAGGATTGTGAGGGCAGCTGGCTGGCCGGCGGTATCTTGTGCACTGCTGGCCTTGCCCACTAGGTGTCAGTAGCGGCCTCCTTGCCCAGGTAGGACGGCCGAAAGGTCCCCAGACTGCTCGGTGTCTCCAGGGGCAGGACTGTCTGCTCTAAAACGCGAAGGGGAGCTGGACACACGTAACTCAGCGTGACAGCCTTCAGGGGTCCTGCTCACAGTCATCACACAAAAGACAAAAATTATTCTGATGGCCACCACAAGGTGAAGAGGGGCAAAAGCGACCAAATGGCAGGAAGCCGATTCTGACGAGTGGGGAGACCTTTCCGGGAGGACCGCTCTGCTCAGGTCCCCGCACTGTCCCTGCTCAGGCTCGGCGGAGCCCTGACGGGTGGGGCTCCTCCCTCTGGCAGGTGGCATGTGTCACTGCGTCCCCACGAAGCGCTGGCTCCAGCTGGGCCTCGGGACAGATTTTATCTTCTTCGGGGGGCAGAGGCAGGGGATGCGCGGTGGGCCAGGCGCGGGTGGGGGGGGGATTCCCAGGACAGGGGCAGAAAGACCTCTCTCCTGCCCCTTGAAGGGTACAGGGCCGCCCAGCTGGTGTCTGACAGGGATGGGGACCAGAGTTCTCCGGGATTCCTCAGCGAGGACAGGGAGGTGAGCTCGGGAGCTGAGCACCGGGCCCAGGTCCTGCTGGTGCTGGGACCCCCAGCTCCCCAAGCCCCCGACACGCAAGACACCGAATCGGCCTCTTCCACAGGAGTGTTTCCCTAGCGGCCACCAGGGGGCACTCTATGGCCTCGAATGGCTGCCTTTTTCCTCTCTTCACACTGCAGGATCCCCCAAGCAGGCCCTGCGCTTTCTGCAAAGCCGCCTCCCTCGCCTGCCTTCTCTGCTCTGCGACCCCCAGTGTCGCCAGGTGCCCCCATGGTGTTCACGGCACAGCCGTGGGCTCCTAGGGCAGAAAACTAGGAATCCATGGAGATGACCCACAGTGAGTACCCTGGCTCTTGTACCCCCAGGTGTCCCCACCTGAGTCCCCCAATTAGGGTATTATCTCTGGTTTTTCATGACACCAACAAACCTTCCTCCCGATCTATGTTGAGCTCTGAAGTCCCTCCCGCTGTTTCATTTCCTATGTCTGAGATTGATGTCTTTGAAGATATAGATTCGGACACAAAGAAGCATGTTCAAATCCGGGCATGGTGGTGTAGGCCTGCATTCCTAGTGCTCTGGGAGGCTGAGGCAGGAGGATACAAGTTTGAGCTCAGCCTGGGCAATTTATTGAGCTCCTGTTTCAAAACCAAAAAATGTTAAAAATAAAAAGGGCTGAATATGTAGCTCAATGTAAAGGCCCTAGGTTCAATTCCGGGACAAGAAAGAAAGAGAGGGGGTGGGGGAGAGAAAGAAGGAAGTGAAACACATTCCAAATCAACAACCCAATAATACCTCTAACCACGAAGTAAAGAGCACAGAGATGTGAGCCCGCGTGGACTCACATTCAGGTGGGTGACGAGGGACCAGCCTGGAGAGGCCTGGGGTACTCGCGGGCAGCACAGACTTGCATTATGGCAGGGGCCTCTCGGGGGCCAGGGGAGGGGGCAGGGAGGGGACGGGGAGCCTTTGGGTGCTATTGCTTGGAGGCAGGAATGAGAGCCAGAGCGTGGATCAAAGAGCCTGCTGGCTGCAGAGCGGCAGCCAGGAGTCCCTAGGGTACCTGCCCCAACCCCTGCGCCCCAGCCTTGCCTCCTCACACCCCAGTCCTGTGCAATATCTCCTTTCCCGAAGCCCAGGCTAACAAGCGGCCACACCATCAGTTACTTCCCCTGCTTTCCTTTCTGGACATAGCTCTCTGCAGTGGTGGACGGTGGTCATCCGAAAGTAACAGAAATAACAGCAAGCCAAGCGAGGAGGCACCTGAGGGGGGACGGACGCTCTGGACACGTATCTACGCCTGGAGGTGTCCAGCCCAAGCCCAGATCGAGCTGTGCGGCCAGCCAGAGGGCGCAGAGGATGGAGACCACCACACATGTGCAGGAGGGGCATGGCGTTTTTAGGTAATGGGGCGACTTTGAAAGGTGTGGTACGGAGCTGGCTAACGCCTGAGCACCGGTCACCCTCTGCAGAGTGCTCACGCTGATCACAGTCCATCCCCCCCTCTGCGGAGCACATGGAGCCCCGCCAAGGTCGAGGGACGCACCCAGGTCACAGGCTGGCGGGCAGTGCTCCAGACGGGACTGGACACCGCACCACAGTCTGAAAGCACAAGCTCCACCCAGGAGGGACAAAGCGTGCGAATAAAATAGCACCTGCTGCAGTCCTCTCCGGCACTAGAGTGATCCAGGTGGGCCGCAGGGAGCTGGGATAGCAGGTTGTCAACTTGAGGCTAAAACATTTTCATCTGCGATGTATCTTCATAGACATGTCCATCCTCCCATTCTTCCATACCTATCCATTCTTCTTGGCCTAATTTATAAATTGACCTTATTATAGGTACGCATAGGAAAAACATGGTGGATATGAGGTCTGGCGCTCTGCTTGGTTTCCATCCTCCACGGGGGGCCTTGGAACACATCCGTCACATGTAAGGGGGGACTGTAGTACCTGCCATGTGTCAAGCACGCCAGGGGATAATTACAGCTAATATTTACAATACCCTCTTTAGGTTTTGTTTTTCTTGACTTACTGAAGCTGAAGGACGTGATTTGTCTGGGGTGATCTGTCCCCATCGCGATGGGCACAGCAAGCTTAGAACTGACATCTTTACTTTTTTTTTTTTTTTTTGGTACCAAGAATTGAACTCAGGACCTTGCTCTTGCCAGGCAGGCGCTGTGCTGCTGAGCTAAATCCCCAAGACCATAGGACTCACATCTGTGTGACCTCCTGAGGGCCCTCTGCCACCCTGATTGCTCTCTACCCTGGCCCACCATGCACCCAGCCACTTCTCAGCCTTCTGATGAGGCCCACAGTGCCAGTTCTGCTCTGAAATTGTCAGAAATGTGTGGATGTGGGCTAAGGTGTAGCTCAGAGGTATTTGCCTGGCTCTTAAAGCAAAAAAAAGGAAGAAAGAAAGAAAGAAAGAAAGCAAGAAAGAAAGTAGTGAGGGAGGAGGCAAGGAAGGAAGGGAGGGAAGGAGGGAAAAAGAGAAAGGAAAAGAGGAAAAGAAAAAGGGAACAGGAAAGAAAAACAGGAACGAACTAGAATGGACAAAGTAGTTCACGCAGGTCCCTCATAGAGGAGTGGGAGCAAAGCCAGCAGAGAGGAGGAGGAAACAGGACATAAAAGCTGGGGCTTGGGAAGGCAAGGACGGGATGGTTACACAGGGGAAGGGGTCGGTAGAAGGAAAACAAGTTCTGACTGAGGCCGGGTCCCGGTGCGGAGCCGGGCTCCGGGGTCAGGGCGCGGGAGGGAGGGGGCCGTGGGCGCGGAGGGCCTGGGCCTGCGCCAGGGGACAGAGCGGCACCCTGCG